AAGCTTTCGTCCGCCATATGACGAACATCATCAGAGCAAGGTATCATCGTCACAACCAAATTCAAGCTAACGAATCAAGAAAACTTCTTGGCAAATACCTAAAAAGCTGACCTCTTTGATGAGGTATAAAGTGAAGTTTTGTGCATAAGCGAACACAAACAGGCACATGAACATGCAGATACAGACACACTTATAGGCTTCGAGGTTGACACATGACCGTAACTAACCAAATCACCTTACACCTCATCAAAGAAGCTAGATATAGACTATATATACAGATTTTAAGGGCTTTGCCGGTGCGTTTTCTTAACTCGTTAGCTCGAATTTGGTTGTGGCGATGATACCTTGCTTTGATGATGTTCATCATATGTCGGACGATAGCTTAGCACCTTTTCACCAGAATAAAAGAAGATTATCTCAGAAACAGCGTCACCATGACTGTTCCAGCAAAGTCAATCAACAACTGGTCAGGTCCAATTCGCCGTCATCTGGCGAAATCGACCTTCGAATCTCTTCACCAAACACTTTCATTCGAAATGGAAGTAAGCTCAACAATTATGAAATAAAAGATTCCTTTAAACCCAACTTTTCTTCGCATATACTACTAATTGGTTGTATTTATACTAAAATAGCTTTACATATATGAACGAAAATCTCTGGAGGAAAGGACTCCTGATACTATTTAAGTAAGAGCATTAAAAAGATCGGACCTCTTGTGTACAAATTATATATATATATTTATTTATTTATGGGCCAGTAAACAAGATTACTTGGTCATAGGTATGAATACCAAGATGGTGTGATCTTTTGTATGGTCTCAGTCTCCTTTCGTTGTATAGAAGTTGTTTGACCTTGTTTTCCCAACTTGGTCATATTGGCAGGAAGACCTAGAGGAGCACACCTTGTCCGGAGTCCATAGTATGCATGATCATTTCCAGAGTCGGACCGTGGACTTGGTACATTCCCATACGTTTCGTCAGCATCATCGATGAGTCTTGTCATGTTGATCAGTCTGCCATATTGTTGCACAGTCCTTCCCTAGGTCTTATCAGAGTCTCTCTCTTGCTCCGTCAACTATCTCCCTGGTTCAAGTATTTTACTTGACCCCTGCCATCCCATCTGCGTTCCACGAGGCGTTATTTCCCACAATCCACCTCTGGGAGACTAACTTGAGGCTAAATACCCCGAGTAATTCTCATCGTCAAGCTTCATGATTGGTAAAACATGCCTACCTTAAGCCAACTAGTAACAATCTCCGCCGTGTCTATCCTGTTTCTATACGTAATCCCAAGTATATGACTTCCTATGTCCTATTCTCTTGTATGCCAACCCACAAATGTTGTGGTATTGCTTGCTTCGATTAGGTTCAATGTTGAACCACAACATTTGTGGGTTGCCACAATTTTTGCTTGGCTACATCAAGATAATGGATTTTTGTTGACACATTTTAGACTGCGCGATTTTTATTTCTTCTTTATTGTATTCCACCTATCAAGCCAATCTCGGGCTCACCGATTTCTCCTCGACTGTCTTGCCACCCCCACTGAGCTCTATACAAATTACCTTCCTAAATGACATTAACGAACTTACTACTGTTATTCGCTCTGTCTGGTTGCCCGGTCCGCTTTTGCAGAAAGCGCAATTATTTACCGAGTCAGACCCTCTAACCTCCGATGTCGAAACCACAAGCATCACGGAAAGCATCCAGCTTCCAATGATCGTACAGACTATTTCTACTGTGTTTACCGGCTCCATTATTCCTGATCAGATATCGCAGCTCAAATATCAACAGCGGCAACGCTTGTTCTGGTTTCATTTAAGTGTTAACTGTCCTGTTGCTTTAGCTTCGACGGCGCCTCCACTTCTCGGCTTGGCTGGGAGTCTAGTGTGTGTGAAACATCAAACAGGCTCTCTCAATATTTGGCCAAGCCGTGTCTGGCACGTTGAGTAAGTCTCCTTTTTATTCACCCTCATTTTCTCGATATTAATTACTTAATATGAGAAGTATTCACCCTATTTCGTTTAAGGTTATGAAGGACTGGTAGTTAAATTTTCTCACAATGATATGAATAGAGCAGATGTTTCCATTGAATTTCGCATAGCCTTGCTTTCCCAAAAGTTGTTCTCATCCAGGCTGAAGTGGACTGCAGTTTCGACCTCGCATCGGTCTTTTCAACACCTCCAGCGGGAGTCGAACCGTGACAGGGCAGAATGGAAGCTTTACACGTTAGCCACTCGGCCACATTGCCACGAGTGCCCTTGGGTCACAGGGCATAAGTGAATTCCAAATAAGGTCAGGCCTTTTGAATACCTCTCATATTACTGATTTACTGGTAGTCTCGAAACTCTACTCAAATACGAAAATAAGTAACGTAGTCGATTGTTATAGCAAAAATGCGTGCGCTTCATCGACAATCACACCAATAATGTGATGTGCAAAAAGGCCTGGCCTTCCTTGAAATTCACATCTACCCTGTGACCCAAAGGCACTCGTGGCAATGTGGCCAAGTGGTTAACGTGTCAAGCTCCCATTCTGCCCTGTCACGGTTCGACTCCCGCTGGGGGTGTTGATAAGACCGATGCGAGGTCGAAACTGCGGTCCACTTCTGCTTGGATGAGAACAACTTTTGGGAAAACAAGGCTATGTGAAATGCAATAGAAACGTCAGCTATTCTCATATCATTGTGGGAAAATTTTTCTACCAGTCCTCCATTAACTTAAGCGAAATAGGATGAATTAATTGCATATAACTTAAACTTTAAGTCTTTTTTATAATGTTTTCTAGTTATAGTTATTTCTGTAAAATGGCATGAAGGACGAAAGCTTGGTTCGTTTGTCAAGAGCCGAAGTTTTCTGTAATGTAGTCTGCTTCCGCATGACATGCAAGATAAAATCATAAGACAAACGAATGATATTTTTCCCCCTCCCTTTCACGGTTGATTATTTTTCTTAGAATCGATCGGATTTATGCCATATTGAATTCAACTATTCCCTTCGATGAATTTTTTCTTTATACGACTACGTTTTCATCAGTTTTGTTTTTATTTATGTATCTTTCCGCTGGCTTATAGTAAACTAAATTTTGCCTAACCTCCTTCCCTGTATATATATTTATATTTTTACCAACATCTTTTTTTATTCGCTTAGCATTTTAAAGATATTTTTTAATGTATGCCTCCCTATATTATCTTTTATCCATGTTTGTATAATTATTATTGAGGAGACTTTTATTTTGTATGAAAGTGCATGAAAAGAAATTTGTAGGTCGATCTCACCGGAAGAGG